ATTATTATTATTATTAAAAACAACTAGTTAAGCTAGGGGTAGTCAACCTTGGCTCTTTTATGACTCGTGGACTTCAACTCCCAGAATTCCTGAGCCAGGCTGGCTCAGGAATTCTGGGAGTTGAAGTCCACGAGTCATAAAAAAGCCCAGGTTGACTACCCCCGAGTTAAGCAATCCATATCATAATGTACAAGGACACAAACAACAGTTCCAAGTTATAATCAAACATTAACTGTTGGAGCTTAGTTAACTTCCTGACCCATCTTGTTTACATAGCAGAGGTCAAACCTTCTTGAACAAATAATAAATACATTTGTGCAACTACAGACAGTTAATCCAGGCTCCATTACTGTTGTAAGTCAAGGATTACCTGTATAGTAACAGAATCTTGCAAGTCTGAATATGTTTTCCCTTTTCCTCCCTTTATCTTCATGTGAACTAGGGATGGAATTCTCTGAGACATTTTCTTAAGTTATTTTCTTGGCCTGGACTCAAGCTCCTTATCTGACCATTGCCATTACAGCAACTCTTCCTCCAGTCCTTCAAGGCTGTTCCCTCTTTCTACAAGGTTATGACCATATGTGATCAGTGAATTAGAAATAGTCAGCTCTAGAAACATTGTGTGATGCTCCAACTCTGTTGTGAAGATCACAGAAATAATAAGGAACTCTTTGCTTCTTAATGGAGCAAATACAAATGGCTCTGCTGAAAGAATGTTTTGATATCGAGCTTCATCTATGTTTTTTTGTGTGTGTTTTGGCTATTTGGTTATTTTTTGTTCTCTGTTTAACTTTATTTTGTTGTTGTTTCTTTCCTTAGTCATTGTATTTTATTTTGTTGATTATGTTGTAAGCTGTCCAGTGTTCTGGAATTGAGCAGTGCTATAACTGAATAGATTAATTAAATCTGGATACAACAAATGTCAGAGTCATCATTAGGGAAATCCTGCTGTAATTTTGTTTGTTATGTGCCTTTCTTGTGATAATATGGATCTTCTCATGCTCACTGACATTTGCAGCAGTGATTTTCATAAATAAACTGAAGTTTGAAGTATCTGTTGGAATCATGAATCCTTTGTATGGGCAGTCTCCTAAATTATCATCTGTATTTGCCACACAGTGTCATTTTCTATGGTGAGATGGGCAGTGTGTAAATGTAATAAACAAATGAATAAATTTCAGTTTGTGAATCCTACTCAGCCAATTAGAACTGTGAAAAAAAGGAATTATTTTCATAATGAATTAACTGGGGTGTCTTTTTTAATTTTAACTGGTGGTTCCTCCTTTTCACAGCCTTTGGAGTGGTTCACAGAATTGCTTATATTTTATGTAAATGGATGGTTACACTGTAAAAGGATAGACAAATATATCTCCCACACAAAATTCAATAAATAAATCATTATTTAAAATGAACAGCATCTGAGAGAAACCTGGAAAGCAAGCTCATGCAGGCCCATGATAAAGCCTGGATAACAGGGAATGACGAAGGCCTTCAAGAGACACCAGTTAATTGACTCTTAAAATACTTATTTTTCACAATTCTACTTGGCTGAGAAGTCACAAATTGCGGTCTTGAACTTTTTTAATGGGACTACCAATGAAAGTGAGTGGGAGCCTGGTAGATATTAGGACATACTTTAAACTGACATCCTGATTTCTTTGAGAAAGAACAGCTACTCCAGTGAACCCAGAAGGGAGGTGAAGAGATAGGGGCGGTTAAGGAAGAAATGGCAGAGGAACCTGCTAGATGATTTTGAAAGACAAAGATGGTTCCCAAATAGGCAGCAAAGATTGGGGATCTCTTTTTGAAGGGTTTAAACATCTTTAAACAATTCAGTGAAATTTGGCTGGAGATTTTTGCTTCCAAGCAGTGTTTCTGCTTCTGTGGTATATTTGAATCCTACAAAGATTTATTTGTGGGACACTATCAGTTTTAGGAGAGCTTCCTCTCAAGTATATTTGCTTGGAATTAAAGCTTTAGCTCCCATATTACTGCAACATGTTTATTTTCATGTGCACTTTACTGGATTCAATTCCTTTCAACTACATAAATATATTTTCGAATGTCTGTTTCATTCGTGGAAACCTTTCTATGCAGAAGCAACAGGCTTGAGTTTAGCACAAACGCCACTCCATGATTAGCCACGATAAACTTTATTAATTTTAATTTAACAAGCATTGATTCATTGAAAGACCAGGTAATGAGGTTCTTCACATTACCTTTTTATAGTTACCGAGACAATAGACTGATTCTTAATTAAGCAAGGTAAAATCGTTAACAGTTTCAACTATCTGAGATTTTGAGACCACTGTTTGTTAACGCAAACCACAAATGTTTTTTTCCTTTACAATTCAAAATAAAAACACAAACTGGCTCACAAATCTTTATATGTTACTGTCAAAATAACACAGCATAATATAGCATGCTGAACAACTTTTCTGCAGAGGTCCCAAATAAACCATTTCTCCAAAGTGTTATTAATGCCAAAATTGCTTGTGATGCATCTCCTGCATCTTTGAAAAGCTGAGCAAAAAAATATTAAGCCACAGGCTAGATCATAACAAGAGTTAATAATACAAATATGACCATTGGAGATACAGAACCAACAACACAAAATTTCAAAGCGAAAGCATGAGATTTGGTTGTCTTTTGTTAAAACCAGGGGAAAATAGTATGCTTCGATCCTACCCACTGACATTATACCAATAGCTCACTTGCCATGAGATAAAACATTATTTGGGGCTGATCTGAAAGAAGCCTGGTTTGTAATATAAGAAACAAAGGCTAAGAAACAACTTTTAGCCAAAGAACAATATTGTGCCTGGATAAACATTTTAAAGTATTTAATTACTAAATAAACTATGTAAAGAGATTCTTAAAAGAATCCCAGAGATAATTCAAAATCATTAGGTGGTTCCAATATAATCATTAAGACTTCAATATTAATTAGTCACCTAGTGTAACCACAACCTAAAGGCATTTAGATACCAGCAAAGACACCATAGTGAATGCTATCCACATGCTATTTGGATTACAAGAGGCTGGATACACACTGCCTTAGGATTTGTGGGTTTTTAAAGAAATTACAGATACATGTCTAAATCTAAGTGATGATTTGTTGAAAGAATGCTTCATTGATACTTCCTATGGGAGCATATGCTCTCAAGAATAAAGCAAAAGCCGAAGAGAAACATGCAACTATGCAAGCCTCATAATAGAGGGACAATCCTAGTACCCCTCCACTTCAAAATACGTGTTACATTGCAGAAGAAACTACAGGGTCTCATGCCAATTTTTCTCATCTTCATGCAGCCATGATCTCAATATAGATAGATGGTTGTCTTTCCTTTGTGGAATTTTTCTGTTCCTATTTTTACTTCATACTTTGCAGTAAACTAATTAGCCTTTTCCCCCTTAAGGAATGGATAATGCTCATTTTATTTTTTGTAGTGGTCCATTCCACTTCAGTAACTTTCAGAGCAACTCTTGCCTAATGCCTCTGTTATTTGACTCTTAAAACATATCTCAAAGTCAAATAATATTATCACATAAAAGACATACTTAGTAAGCAAGTTCTCCTGTGGTATCCTGAGACTGGGTCCTTTACTTGTTCATAACCCTACAACTGAACCAGAATGCTACAGTCGGACTGCCCTTTTATCTCAAATTATGTTCTAGATTTGCAGAAATTTAGATTTGGCAAAAACTGTAGTTTATTTATTTACTTCTATCATATGGATATTTCCTTCCACTTCTTAGCAGAGGTATTTCTGAAAGCTGACAGCTCCATAAGCCACTACATTTGGGTTATGGATTCTTCTAATGCCAATTAGAACACCTCTAATGAATGAGGAAGCGTAGCAAAGTATTCAATGGCTCAGATGTGCGATTCTCACAACCATGTGCCATTAGGTGCCTCTCCTGCCCCAGGATGAAAACTATCAGAAGTCTACAACTGGGTTTCCTAAACCATTCGCTTCCAATTTCTGTGGATCTTCCCAGTCTACTGTTCATTTTTTAAAAAGAAAGCAGAAGACATACTGAAGTTGAAATGCTGGCTGGGAAGCTTGCAGACAGAAATTAATGGCACCCTGAATGGGTTTTCACACTTAATGGAAGTCTTTTAAATGATCTTCAACACTTGGTTCCACAGCCAAATGCGATCAAAGGCTATGCTCAGAGAACAGCATGCAGGAAATTAGAGTAATCTAATTACCTCAAACTGACAAACAGAACAAAGCCTACAAGACTAGGTGCAGATGTTATACCTAATCTTCTAGATATGTCTAGAATTTAGAACATCATTGTGAAGGTACGTAGCCCTTCAAGGAACAGGAACCTCATTCTCTTAGTCAAGCATAATCAAAGAACAATGTTCAATATGAGTTGGTTGGTTAAGCAGCTGATTCTTTTAAACCACTTCTTTTTGGTAACCATGGCCAAGGATATTCACGGCCTAACTTGCATGCAGAACACAGTCTAAAGCTATTGGACACCTACTGAGAAACAGCTCTAGCTTAAGTACATATAATTCTGAGGACCTAAGCTGAGCAAAGGATTTATCAGATGGCACAAAATGGCCTTTCCTACATCTTCAGAGCATCTGAAAAGTAGGGAGGGAAAGAAATCCATGGAACATGACCTTAAAAGGAGCTCCAGAAATGAAAATGCTGCCTTTTTATTTTCACTTTTCCTCCAAGCAGCACTACCAAAGTACCACTCTCCCTTCTTTCCATGGCGCTTGATAAAGGGATGAAAAAGATTCATTGTCTCCCAGCACAGCCTTGTTTTCAGTCATCTGAAAAACAAGACCCTTAAGAGCTTGCCGTTCATACAGCCAAATGTGGCAGCAAATTCTAGGCAAGTAAGAGAACACCCCTGAAATATTCACCCCGTGAGAAACAAGGAGTGCCCACCACAAAAAGAAGCGGATGAAAGCTGTGAACAGTGCAACCTGTGCAGAAGTTAACAACTAGGTCACTGAAAATCCAGGGGTTTTATTTTCTGCATTTCTTATTCTATAGTAGAGCATGAGACAAAATGAAGGAAGTACCTTCCCATTAGACTGCAGAGTTATGAGGCAAACAATAAACCTGATGGGTGCAGTCCACTAAGATCCCTCTAGGCAAGTTTCCTAATGGGTTTGCCAAGGACCTCTGTTAGTGGACTAAAATATTGATCGAATAACCCCAGAATTTTCCAAAAAGCAAACAGAGCTTAAAATCAAAATATTCATTCAAGACTTCATTCCACAGGAAAGCCTGTAGAAAGGCAACATCATAGCGTGTGGGTGCAGGTCTTCAGGAGGAGGCCATTCTGTGCACAGCTTATTACGACTTCAGCTGGCAGAGTGAAATGGTGGTTCCACTAGAAAATACCCAGAATGCAGAATAGACAGCTTCTGTGAATTCTGCTTTGAATTTATAGAGCATGATGGTTTTTTTCTCACTGACACCAAAGAAAATGACAAAACCCCCATCATAATTTAGAAGGACGCCAATCTTCGTTGCTTTGTTGCTGGGCAGAGATGTGTCTTTATCATTGTGCCAAGCTGAGATCTTATTGTTGACCTTTTCGATGCACCAGGAGCTATTATTGCGTCCTAGGCGGCTTTTCGGCCCCCGTCTTGGAATGCTCCCATAGCAGATGCCGACAGCACAGAAGTTGTTGTTCTCCAAATCAACTTCCCAGTAATGGATTCCCTTCTTGTAACACTGGAAGGAAAGCACTTGGAAGTAGTTTAAAAAGCGCCGAGGGTGCGGTTCGTAATCCTGCACTGTTTCCGTGACAGACATCTTGGTCTTTTTCTCCAATAAGATGATATTCTTATGAGCAGTGTGGAGATCCAGAGTAAATTGTGTAGCAACTAGGAATAAATACAATTGAAAGAGAAATCAGAAAACAGCAAGGAACCTGGAAAAGAGAAGGCAGCAAGAAAGAAAAGGCTAGCTCTACGGTTTTGTCTCCTAATAAGCAGTAGGCTCCCTTTTTCTAAAATGCATCTCCTCCCCTAACCCCAAAGCCAATTAGAAAAGAGGTGCAACTGAGGCAAAAGGGCCACCATCCTAAAAAAGACATTTCAACCAAGATATTGAGAGCAACATGTTGGAACAGGACATTCCCAAATGTTCTTAAAGGCTCAACAAGGGTCCTCATCCCCCCTTTTCTACTTTCACTGAGCTTCAGATATATTCCCATCTACACAGCTTCAGACTGAAACTCATTTCTCAGTGATAGCACAGAGAAGAATCCAAGGTCTATGCCGATTACCACAGAATTCCTCCAAGAGGCTAATCAAATACCTGTAAGAAGCCCTCAAGATACCATGTCTCTAAGAAATCAAACAAAAAGGCACCAAACGCCACCACCAAAGGAACTGCCTAGATTCTGTTATCATTCAGTTGCTCTGTTTATACCACTGCAAAATCCATTGCAGTACAGTTGCCAGGATACGAAGCAGCCTTCCAGGTTCAGTAGCATGACAAGAAGGGAACATCCCTTAACTATAATAAGGCACATAAATTTAATAAATAAATAATCAATCTTCCTCCATATAATACTTCCATTAAATTATGGTAAAATTCTTTTGGACTCCTTTGCAATCGCTTTATTTATTCATCCTAAATAACTTAAGTGACATCAGAAACATTTTCCTGTTCATTTGTAGCTCCAGATCATTTATCAACAAGATAAAAAGAAATGATCTTGAGAACATTTCGTTCTACTGTGTATTTCTGAAACCTTAATAAGTTATGGATACATAAGAGGAGCTATCCACTAAAACCAGTCACAATAAAGGTAGCAGTCCTTGATCTATGACCACAGTTGAGCCCAAAATTTTGGTTGCTAAGTGAAAAGCTGTTAAGTGAATTTTTGCCCCATTTTACGATGTTTTTTGCCAAGGTTGTTAAGCGAATCACTGCTGTTGTTAAGTTAGCAACATGGTTGCTAAGTGAATCTGGCTTTCCCATTGACTTTGCTTGTCAGAAGGTTGCAAAAGGTGATCACGTGACCCCAGGACACTGCAACCATCATAAATATGAGTCAGTTGCCTAGCATCAGAATTTGATCACGTGACCACAGGGGTGCTACATAAGCATGATAAAACAGTCATAAGTCGCTTTTTTTTAGTGCCATTGTAACTTTGAATGGTTACTAAATGAAATGTTGTAAATCAAGGACTACTTGTAATCCCAAAGCAATGACATTTTAGAAGTCCAATCAGCAGCAATCGCTCAGGTCAATGCCATCAACATAAGTTGACATTCTACGAACCCTTATAAATATTAGAAGAAAGGACATTACTATTTCTTCTGCAAATTATTCTTTTTCAACATACTGTAGCCTTACTGTTTTATTTAAAGAAATAGGCCAAAAATCAGAAACATATTTTCTACAGAAACATGACTGGTGAGATTATAATGGTGTGCTAATTTGGGGGGTACTTTTTGAGCTGATCAAACTTTAAAAAGTGAAAGCCTTAATCTTCCACTTGACTTTTAACCTTAATTGAAGCTAGATGTCGATCACTTTATATGCTCTATTTTATGCTGGATGGTTTTGTTTTAGTAATGTTTTCTCAGAATGAATGTTAATCATAATGATTAATATCCCATGATTTTTAATTATTAATATTGCCTCATTTCCAAAATTTATACCACACTAGTTACTTACATTCCAGAAGCTCCTCTCTTGATTTTGTTAAAAAAGTATCAAGAATTGTTGTTTCACTCTTTGTCTCAGCTCTGTTGGAGCTTTGATCTCTCCTTCTGGGACTTTGCACTATGGTTAGCAAACAAGATAAAAAGTCACACCTTTACAAACTCATTAAAAGTTATTTTATATATATATATATATATATATATATTGCAGTGAAATGAAAAGACTGCCAAGTTTTATACATCTCTACAAGACAGGCAAAAATTTGCACTAGCTGTTGACATGTAGTTTTAGTTCATCATTCCATATGTGGTTGACATTTGGTTTTGATTACATGAGATTTAATCTGATGGGTAGAACCCTCAGCAAATCAGAAGCAGACATAGTTATTGTATCTGTATCTAAGAGAATAAAAAACAACCACACTCAAAGAGCACCAAGGGCCACATGGTTCAGAACAACCTGTCTTCCATTTTGTCCCCCACTGCCATGTCAATTGGTGGAATAGTTTCCAATTCAAGCAGCAAGGACCTCACAGTTTAATCCTAAAATACAAATATTCTTTTCTATTGTTATTCTGAACCAGCCACTGAATATAATCTACACTCAAGTAGACTGAGTGTAGATTATATTCAGCCACTGAGTGTAGATTATATTCAGCCACTGAATATAATCTACACTCAGATCTGGTGGTCCATAGCATTTCAGGAGTGGAATTCTTCTTCCTTCTGCTTCCATTTGCTCTGCATGCCTCCACGGCCACAAAGTTGTGGTAGGAGATTTTACATTCACCATCGGACAATCCAAGATTTCCAAGAGCTGGCAGTAGAGAACAGCATTGGTACTGTGAGATGTACAAGACCCTAGCTTTCTAAAGCTCTTAACTCTTAAATTATGGATTTCTAGAGCCTAGAAGAATCCTGTTTAAAGGAAAACAGAGGCAGGGCTGCAACAATCATTATTACAAGCCAGAACTATAGTGCATGAAAATTTCCTACTAAAAAGTAGTAAACATACACAATGGCCCGAAGTGAGTCACTTTTGCCCATCGCTCATGACAACACCACTAATCTGTTTTTCCAACAAGAATGCTTTTTAAAAGCCTTCTTACCACTCTTTTTCTGATGATCTCAACAATTCCATCTAACCTCAATCCAACTAAGTCCGTGAACTTAGTTTCCTTGGCTCTAACATTCTCCCTGGAACTTGGCAGTAGCCATTTAGCATTATTTACTATTCTATTTCAGCATTAATCTCACTAGTGCTCACTAGGCACTGTGGTGGCGCAGTGGTTAAAATACAAGTATTGCAGGCTGACTCTGCCCACAGCCAGCAGTTCAATCCTGACTGGCTCAAGATTCCATCTTTCCGAGGTTGGTAAAATGAAGACCCAGATTATTCGGGGCAATATGCTGACTCTGTAAACCGCTTAGAGAGGACTGTGTATAAGTCTAAGTACTATTGCTATTGCTATATCTCTTGCCCTGTGGAATGAAAAAGATTGAGGGAAAAGCGATTACAAAAATATAGCATTTTCTCAAGAAACTGGGAGATCCTTTCAACCAACCAATAACTTAACATCTGTAAAGAACAGGTGGTGAGAGATTTACGCCAAGGCCACTAATGAATATTTGTGATTTTAAGAAGACCTACGTAACCATTACTCCCTTGTACATTTAGAATGCTGTTTTGGGATGCACAACATTTCTGAAAGCCGAGGACCCAAATATTTCAAGAGTAAAACTTGTATGGAGTACATTAAATTGGTAGACACAACTGAAAGTGCAGAGGTAGCAAACAAAGGTATCTAATTGTGCTAAGAAAAAGTATCAGCATAGGGGGTTAAAGCCACACACACAATTTTCTCATGGCCAGACCACAGCACAATTACTTCTATTCCATGTCAACAAATGCCCTGTTGAACTTCCTGAAATTTCAGCAGAGGCAGCTATTCCTCAAATTTTAATCAGTGGAGTTCATTGGCAAGTGGAAAGTCACACGATTGGTTAAAAGACTGAACTTACCGCGTTTGCCAAGATGATTTCTCTGCTCTGAAAAGAAAAAGATATGTCCTAGTTAGTTATTTGGGAACAAGATGAACAACTCTCTCAGAATGGACAAGAAACAGATCCTGTGGCTAGCTCTCATTAGGATTTATAGAAGTTTTAAGAAACGTTACCAGTTTGACTTGATTATCCCAATGATTTATTTTAGCGATGTGGAAATTATCGTCACCACACCAATAAATTTACTTAAATTTCACCATGATTATTGAAACAAAAAAGATCAAAAACTATAAACAAATCGTGTATTTGGAATGCATAGATACAAGAAAGCATGGATCCAATGATAAGCTTAAGACTTTTGGAAAAGTAGAGAAGCCAGAATCAAGTCAAAAGTCAGTCTAAGAGATTATGCAACAAGGAAAAAAAAGCTTTTCTGGGGAAAAAAGCAGTTTAGTTTACCGTTAGTTACACCAGTGGCATATGCACCGTCCCCTTGGGAAAAAAGAAGAAGAATGCCATCAATTTTGGCACAAGTGCAAGCAGAATCCAGTTTTATTCCAAGTACATTTTTAGTTTTCTATGCAAGCTAGGATTTCTACTGTAATCTTCAGACTTGCGAGCCAACACAATTGTTACCTGCATCCCACCAATGAAATGAATTAAAATATATTACAGAATGCAGAGTGATGTTAGCAGGAAATATGAAGGGAAAAAAAGGTTTTAAAAACCTATGAGGTCAGAAAAATTGTGTATTAGGGCAGAGGTCACCTAACTTTTTATGCTGGCGGCCCGGAGGGAAAAGGAGCAGCTGGGAAATTTGCATACGCGCACACACAAACGCACGCATGTGGACAAGGCCAGGTACAAATGGGGCTGCGCAGACACGCATGGTGCTAGCAGCCAGTTTGCACAGGCAGTAGCCGCCACCGCTGCTAATCCTGCATGCATGTGCAAACGGGCCACACAATCCGCACAGTGCTGGTGGCCTGTTTGTGCATGTGCGCAGGCATTAGCCAGCGCCACTGCTAGCCCTGTGTGCATGTGCAAATGGGTCTGTGCGCTCTAGCACGAATGGAAGTGAGTGTGTGCACACACGTGCTCGCATTGGCCAGCAGACCACAGCCCAGCAGTGGGCCGCGGACTATAGGTTGGGGACCCCTGTATTAGGGAACATTAGCTGCAAAATATGTAGAAGAATAGAGAAATAAAGGACAGTTGCAAAAATACAATCAGCAATAGAGAGGAACAGATAAGATTAAGAGGGGGAGGAAAACACTTTGCTCAATCATCATGATGTAAGCAAAGTGTTTTGGAAATAGATGAAAAGGACTGGAAAAGAGCCTCTACCAGAGTGAATGAAATTAAAAATAAATGTGATAAACAGATCAGGGATGAAACTAAAGCAGGAGAGGTCTGCATACAGCAAGATGTGAAGGAACGATATTGAAATGTATGTATAAATATTAGTGTTGAAAAAATGCTGAAAAGAAAGCCGAACAAATATATGGACTCAGGTATAAACCACATCATGACAGAAATGTTAAAATCACCACACTGTTCTTCCCAAGGTAGGCAGCATTATGCCAGTTGCAGAAAAGAAATAAGAAATAGTAAGCCAAATGAATTAAGACATGGAATAAGAAGAAGGAAATATAGCTCAATTTACTTTTCATCAATGCCATTCACTACTTTCTTCCCCCATATCCATACAGAACTTCAAAAAAAAATTTTTTAAAAATTTTATTATTTAAACCAACAAAACAAAACAAAACAAAACACACATATATACACAGTATATATTTTAACAGCAATTTCGTTAACAGTAATCTATTATTTACATTTCCCCCCTTATTCTTTAGAGTATTTGTCCTTGTTGCCCCATTATTTCTTATTTGCATTTTTCTTCCTTCATACATTATTATACACACATTTTCCACTTCAAAATTTTGACCTTTAGACTTCTTACCGCCCTTTCTCTGATGATCTTAACAATTCCATCCAACCTCAGTCCAAGGTCCGCATTTACACTCTCAATTAACTACAGGCAGTCCTCGATTTATGACCACAATTGCACCCAAAATTTCTGTTGTTAAATGAGACATTTAGAGTTTTGCCCCATTTTTTCGACCTTTCTTGCCACAGCTGTTAAGTGAATCACTGCAACTGGTAAGTCAGTAGCCCGGTTATTAAGTGAGTCTGGGTTTCCCCATTGACTTTGCTTGTCAGAAGGTCGCAAAAGGGGATCCTGTGACCTTGGGACACAGCCACGGTCATAAATGTGAACCGGTTGCCAAGCAACTGAGTTTTGATCACAGGACCGTGGAGATGCTGCAAAGGTCATAACAGTGAAAAACGGTCATAAGTCACATTTTTTCAATGCCACTGTAACTTTGAACGGTCACTAAATGAACTGTTGGTAAGTTGAGGACCACCTACTGTATATGCCATAATGCTTAGAAGAGGCGCTTTTATAGTGTAAGCAGCTAGAGAACCCCACCAAATATTTACATGGTCCACCCGTGTGATACCACTATGTTGCGAGCTGCACTGCAGTCTTCTGGGTGCAATTCAAAGTGCTGGTTGCTACTCTTAAAGCCCTACCTGGCATGGGCCCAGTTCACTGGCAAGATCACCTTTCCCTAATGTGATTTATGCTCATTCCACCAGATCTGGTAGCGTGACCGGGTTCCAGGCATGTTCAATGAAGCAGTGTCACCTGACGGGCTCCAGGAAGTGTGCTCTCTCTGTTGCAATGCCCGCCCTACAGAACAGGCTCCCCTATGAGACACAGTCAGCCCTGACTCTACTGGCTTTTTGGAAGCCCTTGAAGTCCTGGCTTTCCCCCCTGCTATTGGGATAGGATGCTAGTATAATTGTATGTGATTAGGGAATACTGAAATGTCATTGAGCCTCAATTTGGTTTCTTTGGATAGGTTAAGTGGCCACCTTAATTGATGTATACGTAAACAAAGGGTAAATAACTTGTGTGATAAAACGTGTGTCAAAAGTCCTAACTCAGCTTGACTGCCTTTGAGAGAGTTGCTCTTAGTCTAGACTGATTCATAAGGTTGTAGGGAAGAATCAAAGGGGAGGATTGTTATAAACAAAATGCCCATTGCTCATCATTAGCTGTTGTTTTATCTCAAGCAATGGTTTTAATGATCCATAAATTTCCAACTCTTCCAACATTTAATGGCACTATTCTGGATCGTGTAACCCTATGTAACCCCGACTAGAGCATGTAGATCTGTATGTAAGAATGTTTGGCATTTATTGGGTTAAGTGCTGTCTCCGTAAGAGATGGCTTGTGGGTAATGTAGTTTTAGCTAGTCAGCTATATCATGTTAGTAGGTTAGTGGGAGGAGTTTCTAAAGGGCATCACAGGATTTCCTGGACACGAGCCAGCTTGGAATGTTCTTTGTCTGAGTTAGCATGGAGTCACCGCAGGACCCAGATGATCTCATTTCCACACTAAAAGTTGGTATGGAGAAAGTATTAATTTCTCACCTATAAGGATGAACAGATGTGTTATCCAAGAGCAACAACCATAACTGCAAGTATCTTTGAATAAAATATCAGTTTTGGAATCATTCTTATTGAGTTTATCTGTCTGACCTGGATTTACAAAGCAACTTAACTCTGGGTCAGAACAGGCACAATGAGGGAAGCTTCCTTCTGTCCTTCCTTTCTTTAAGACAAAACTAAAGAACAGCGTCCTTCAGACAGAAAGATAATTGTTCCAGGAACTCCTGCTGCCTGCTCTGGCCTCAAAAACTCCACCATGTGCAAAGAATATCCATCACTCTGATTTGCTCTAAATACTCACTAGTTTTTCCTACAGCTGCTGGGCATGCCTCTTCTACCATGGGCATCTTCAATGGTACTACAAAAATGCCAACATTACCTAAGGACACATAAGCAAAGACGACAAAAGCCAGGAATCTTGTGAAAAGGATCCCTCTGAGGAGATAGATAACAAGGAAACAAGGAACAAAAGAAAAATGTTGCTGGAAGCAGAGGAAGGAGGCTGTGTGCTGAGCACAAGGTAATTCCGTCAATCTCATCAGCAGTTACTGGAGTTGTGAGTCAACAAACCAGGGTATTTGAGGGGTTAGAAGGGGTCCTGGAGCCCACCCATTATTTTAATCATCCCTGAATATGAACTTGGTGGCTTCTGCCCCTCTACTTAGTTTGTGGCAGCTTAGTTGAGAAGGATGTGGATGACTTTGAGTATAAGAGTGAGCAAATGTACATGGCAACCAATAAAATTCTCCCCGCACTTTAAATTCATTGGTTCTTCGTGAATTCAAGAAGAACTTGACATTCCTCAGCATTTCACTCATTTGAAAGTGATCCTTGTGTTCCTTATTATTTCTCTGCTCTTGACCAGGTTTGTCTTGTATGCCCTAGCAGTTCCTGTCTGGAAAACACAGATAGAAAGGTAGGGGGGCTTACAAGATCTCAACCAAGTGTACGTGTGCGAGTGAGTAACCATAAGCCAGTGATGGCGAACCTTTTAGAGACCGAGTGCCCAAACTGCAACCCAAAATCCACTTATGCATCGTCGAGTGCCGGGTGGGTGTGGCACATTGGGTGGGCGTGGTCAGTTGGGTGGGCGTGGCCAATTGGGTGGGCATGGCTGCAGTGGTAACGGCAGACTGGGTGGGACTAAAAAGTTCAATCAATCCCAACTTTGCAAGAACTTTTTTTTCCTCGCGAGAAGTTGAAATTGACTGATTGAACCTTTTTTTTTTTTGCATATGGCGGCGGAGGCCTAAAATGAAAAGGTTTTATAAAACCCAGCTGAAGGCCTAGGACTGGGGCAACAACGCGCGTGCCCACAGAGGGGGCTCTGAGTGCCGCCTCTGGCACCCGTGCCATAGGTTCGCCACCACTGCCATAAGCTGAACTTAAAAGCATGCAGAACATCTACAGAAAGTGTCTGACAGGGAATCTCTCCCCTTTTAAGGATCTTTTCCCTCTATAACAGTGGTTCTCAACCTTTTTAATGCCGTGACCCCAACCAGTTGTAAGTCGAAGACTAAACCGGTCGTAAGTCGAGGACTAAACCGGTCGTAAGTCGAGGACTAAACCGGTCCTAAGTCGAGGACTACCCAACCGGTCGTAAGTCAAGGACTTTCCCTGCCTGGGAGTGCCGCACATGTGTGGTTCCGCCCCCTGCGCCGGCCGAGGCGTAGCTGGCAAGCGGCAGAGACGGAGCAGGCCAACCACCAGCTGGCCCAGCCCAAGGGAGGTAAGGCACCCGCCGGAAAAGGGGGAAAAAATGGCGGACAGCCTTGCTTGGCGACCCCCGTGAAATGGTCGATCGACCCCAAATGGGGTCCCGACCCATAGGTTGAGAACCGCTGCTCTATAACCTCTTTAAAGGTAAAGGTTTCCCTGTCCAGTCGTCTCCAACTGTAGGGAGTGAGCTAATTTGTTTCCTGGCCGAGGGAGCCAGCGTTGTCCTAAGACATTTCTGTGTTCATGTGGTCAGCATGACTTAATTCTCACTAACAGACACGAAATGATAGAAGGTGTTGAAACCACAGGAACCTTGGGGGGAGGGATCAAGCAATATTGGAATTCAACATTATGCAACCACAAGCAATAGAACACAGTCAAACTAGAGTCTTGGACTTTAAGAGAGCTAATTTCAACAAACTTAGAGAGAGCTTGTGAAGGATTCCATGGATGAGAATCCTCAAGGGGAAAACAACTCAAGAAGCTTTGGAAATTTTGAAAAATGGGATTATGAAAGACCAGTCTAGCACAATACCAATGAAGAAGAAAAATAAATAAAGCTCTCAAAAGAAACCAGCATGGCTGCATAAAGAACTCTCTGATAAATTGAAAGACAAAAAGGACAAGTATAAAAAGTAGAAAGAGGGGCACATAACTAAGGCAAATAGCCCGAGCCTGCAAAGATGAAATGAGGAATGCTAAGGCTCAAAATGAACTAAAGCTTCAACAAAAGTCAAAAATAACAAAAAAATTTGAATTGGATATGTCTAGTTTAATGAAGGGGGGACATGATAGCAGTGTTCCAATATCTCCGGGGCTGCCACAAAGAAGAGGGAGTCAAGCTATTCTCCAAAGCGCCTGAAGGCAGGACAAGAAGCAACATGACTCTGGGACGCGGCAACGGTTTTAAGTATGAACCAGTTGGCAAGCATCCGAATTTTGATCACATGATCATGGGGATGTGAAAAGCGGTCATGAGTCACGATTTTTTCAGTGCCATTATAACTTTGAACGGTCACTAAATGACCGTGGGTTAGGAGTGGGAGGCACCGTTATGCGGTGGTTCTCCTCCTTCCTCACCGACCGTACGCAGTCTGTATTGGCAGGGGGACAGAGGTCGACTCCTAGACCCCTAACCTGTGGGGTTCCTCAGGGGTCGGTCCTCTCCCCCCTTTTGTTCAATATTTATGTAAAGCCGCTGGGAGAGATCATTCGTGGCTTTGGGGT